ATAGCCAGGGCAGCCCCGAGGACAACGACTCGTATTCCTCCGCCCAAACTGCATCTCCCGGTAGTTCTATCCTCTTGTTGGCATCATCCACAAAGCTTTCTCCAACATGGTTAAGCCTCGGAACCCAAATCTCAGGAAATTCTTCGTCTTCCTCGACAGATGTGTAGGAGTCGCGAGTTTTCTCATCCGCCTCAACATTTTCCTCAGCGACCTCACGTATGATTCCCGATGCCTCAAACCCGGCCTTGGAAACTCCTTCTGGGAACTCGTACTCCTCATCTGTTGTCTCGTCAGAATCATAGTTGCCGTTGTCTTTGAGAATGACCTCCTCATATTTGAGGATACCCTTATCATCAATAAGCTTCTGATCAGCCTCCTCCCACAGCCGGTGGGACTTGATCAGTCTTGCCACAGCATGGTGTCCCTCTCGGCTGGCAAATCTAATCGCTCGGACATATTGACGACGGCCACTTCCGACGGTCTGAACGCCAGAGTTGAGAAGCAGCTGAACAACGTCCAATTTGCCGTTCTCCGCGGCACCTTCCAATGCAGTTCGCCCCACTCTTCCGACCGCTGGGGCATCTGGATCTGCGTGTAACTCCAACAATCTGCGTACCAGGCCGAAATAACCCCGCATGGAAGCAGCCTGTAAAGCAGTAACACGGTTAAGGCTAGCAGGAGCATTGATGTCGGCGCCAAGATTTATGAGTCTCTCCACAAGAGGTAGATTCCCCTCGCCAGCAGCCGCCTGTAAAGGCGAATCATGTTCGAAATCATGATCATGTGTGAGGTTGACATCAACGCCTAACTCCAGTAGCCACTCAGTGACTTCGTAGGAGTTGCATTTGATTGAAGTTGAGAGTATTTGCGGGGACATCCCTACACCAAAGCTTTGTAGCGCTTGGAGATCTACAAGACTTGGGCAATAGTCGAATCTGGGACACAGACGAGGCGGGTCGTACCCATATTGAAGTAACAAGATGGCAAGACCAAGCCCTTCTGTCGATACGAAAGAAGGACCGGCGGTGGCTTCCATTAGGGTGCATTTCTCAAATCGTTCAAGCAAGGTTTCCCCGCGCCACCAATAATAATCATATGGTATCCGCAGGGTTTTGTAGGCTTTAGTGTTAGTTGTGAATGAATGACCCGTATCAAAACATTCTTCTGGTCGCAGCCCCGACGCCAATATCAGTTCTACAATCCTGAGGTCTCGAAAGGTCGCTGCCAAGTGCATCGCTGTGCCAAGCCAGAGATTTTCCAACTCAGATGGCGCCGAAATATGGCCGAAGAGAAGCTTCAAGATGCTCAAGTCAGAGCTGGATTTCGCAACGAATATAGCAGACCAGATTGCTTGCACGATTACAGCTTGTGAGTTGTCCTCGACAATCCGCGAGATCAAGGCCACGTCCTCTGCAAGGACCGCACCTTCCAAAACTGAGAATGTGTCAGGAATGGTTGAAGCCTCCGCGAAAGATGCCCCCCTGGCAAGAAGTTCGTTAACTATCGCATGCCGACGACATGAAATCGCGATGGCCAATTCCCCTCCAACCAAGGTAGCTCCTGCAGCAAGGAGAAACATTGCGTTTTCGGTTTTGTCTTCAAGTAAAGCTATTTGAAGAGCAGTTTTCCCAGCGTATCTTTCGGATTTCTCCCACCATTCTATGTCAATCGGGCCAGGACGCCAATAATTTCTGACGTTTGAGGAATGGCGGTGATCAAGGTCGGCCCCTTGCCGCAGAATCTCCCGGAGCATTTCGACATCAGACCCGAAGGCTGCGTATTGAAGGGAAGAGAGAAGCGTAAATGACGGCGACGGCATATCGAGAGAGGCACCCAACTGTAACAAGCGCCTCAAAAGCTCGATATCCTTTACTCTAATAGCAGCCATAATTGGCGTGTCTCTTCTTCTGGTCAAGTGGTTGATATACGCGCTAACATGTTCCCGGTTCTCTGAGAGTAGATCTGATACAACGCTGCTGTGTGCTCTGATGGCCGATACGAGCAGCTGCGATCTTGATGCTGGGGTGTGAAGTCTTGTCCGAAAGAATTCAAAAATCTGTTCAGCGATTGGGCAGGCCTTGGCTAAGGCAATATTCCTCAGCAGTATACGAGCCTCTTTATCGTCTTCTTGACGGAACAAGAAGTTCGACAGAAGGAATGCCGTTGATTCCAATGTTATGCGGGGAGTGTTTCGGGCTTCCCAAGCCGATTGAATTATATCCACATTCATGATTGGGGTATTGGCTTTCAACTCGATGAGTAGTTGAATCAAAGGCCAGTCGTTCGCCAGAGTTGCATATTCGAATGCACACGCCGCGTCGAAAATGTCATACCGGATCATGATACCGTTCAAGGCCTGATTGGCATCGACACCCATTCTAGTTAAGGATCGGACAAGACCAAGGTCAGATCTTAAAATGGCTTCCTTGAACAGACGGTCTAACGCCGATTGGATGCTCACTGGAAGTTCGTTGTACTTTTGCGACATCAAAGCGACCCAGCCGTCGGTTTGCGGTAGCACATCGAGCAGCATATTGATGACCTCATTATGTTCTTCGTGGTAAGGTACCTCCCTGTCGAGAAAGTTGTTGGACAAGAGAAACAACATGACTTGAAGAGCATCTGTAATGTTGCTGCCATGCTTGGACGACAGGAGGAGGCTCTCAGCGCGGAACACATGATTATGTTGGAGCTGCTCTGGCATTATCAAGGACAGTGCTTCGAATGTGGACTTGAGTCTCGCTGTATGATTGACTTGGACTGGGCGATTTCGAAGTGCCAACCCAAGAATCTCGTCACCTGGAAGTGAAAAGTGTGCGCCGACTGGGCTAGGAACCAGAATGTTGAGACCTTCAGGATGAACCAATTAGCATCCGAGTCGACGTAAAAGGTCTGATGTTTAAGCAATCATGATAAAGCATACCTTTAATCAAGCTTCTAGCTGAGAGCCAAGGGATATTGCGCATGTTCCACAGTTCTGGGGCTGTCTGAGGAGATGGTGTTCGTATAATCAGCGATAGGTCTGTTGGTGATGATGGCGCGATGACTAGTCATAGCTGTTAGCTTTTGGCAGTCCGCGAGTAAGAGGCAGTGTCATGATTCGGTAACTAACCTCCCATGCTCTTCTCTATAGCTGTCTCGTAGCAATGACGACCCTTCGCCTTCTCTATCGTCGCATCTCGCAGTTGAACACCAGAAAGATACACCATGCTTTCTTTACCTGCTACATGTCGCTTGCGAATCCGGTGGACTACGTGTTTCCACTCTGTACTCGTCATATTCTTGGCCATGTGCCATTGTTTCAGCTTCCACATGAGCTGATTTTTACTGTAACAATGTAAATATGCTGTCACTGCAGAATATAACGAGCAATTTGAAGCCCCCTGATGGGCATGTAGACGGACGACTGACCTGGGACGGAAGCTATGATACATGCTGAGAATCGTCTGGACATCTTTCAGACTCTTGTCTTCGATAAGATACAGCTTCCGGATGACCGGCTGGAGCCTCTCCCATTCCTCATCCTTGATGTCAGCCTTCTTGGCGCGAGAAGGCATATTGGCAGCTGTCGATGTGGTGCGTGTCTAGAGGAAAGGCGGGAATTGCAGCTCAAAGAGAAGCAACCCAAGATTCTGAAATCGGTTGTACTATCGGACTCTGCAATGATAGGAACTGGTGCACAACTCTCATCAGGTTGCGTTGGTGCTGGCACCTGAGAGCTGTTATATGTCCAACAGGAGCCTGGATGAACCACGGCCATGATTGGTTCGTGCCGAAATCTCACACATCAGCCTGCCTGTTGATGTCGGTGGCAGAGCACTTCAATAAGCATGGGGACCAACACGAGTGATTGGCTGTTGCCGGAATCTGGTTTACCTTGCATCGGCAACGTAACGTATCACGACTGCAGTTGATGTGCACGCTGGTGGCAACCAACGCCTTATTATGCAGGCTGAGGAGGGGCTCTGGGAGCAGCTCGCCTGGTCGTCAGAATTGAGGCTGTAGACTCGAGGCAAGATCAGAAAAAGCTTGATGCTTTTGAAGGCATTGCTTCACGAGGGCAGTATTAAGATGATTCAGCAAGCATGTTCAAGATTCGTTTCGAAAGCGTGGAAAAGTGGTTGAATGTGTACGTCTATTACAAAGCTAGTCGTATCGCATAACGACTACACGGTGCTTCCTGACTTAAACATTTTTTTTAGCAAATGACATCTCGTACTTCTCATAAGAGATGGAAAATTTTCAGTTTTACTCATAGCTCTAGTTGATATCATCATGTGAAGCACAACCGATGGCGACATTCTGGCTGGTTCGGATTTACCGTTATCCTCGTGCCAAACCGGATATACTCGACCATCTCAATCGAATGCCGTTCATGTACGTCTCGCAAACCAAGCACCGACGGCAACTCGGAAAACCGACAAGTCGTCCAAATCTCAGAAAACACATAGTCACTCTCGATGCTGCCAGTGAGCTTATCTAGGTCCCAGAAACCTCCGGCCAATGACCTCCAATACCGGGAGCTGGCAGGCCGGCCCTTGCTTCGACGCTGGGCCGTCCAATTAGTACTGTAGGCCCAGCTCCGCCCGGAGCCAATTTGGCATTTTGCCGCCAAGGGCCACTTACACTGATTTCACAGCCTCTCCCCCGTCCTGAAAAATTTTCTCTGAACAAGACTGTCGTTTCTCGACACCGCGAAGAAGGCGGTCTCTGGAATCTCACTTGAATTGCGTTTTTTGACACTCCCGAAATCCATTGCGCATGCCTCTCACGCACGGGCAGCACACGCCGGTACGTATCGAGAGCCCAGACCCGCAGCGCACGCATTCCTGGCTCCTCAAAGTCACTGTTGTCGCTGCGCCGCACTCCAACAGTGGGCGAGCCCACTGCCAGACACCCACTGTTCTGTGTGCCGTGCGCGAGTCACGAAACATAGGCCGCTAACCTGCCCTCCCCGTCATCGCAACACCTGCATTCCTGGTCGCTAAACGGCTTGGTTCGGCTCAATGGTCTAGAGGTATGATTCTCGCTTTGGGTTCTAGGCTCCTGTCTACTCTGCGAGAGGCCCCGGGTTCGATCCCCGGTTGAGCCCCATCTTTTACTTTTTGCGACTTGTCCTCCCTAGTGAAAGGGATATTGCTAGTAAAAGGAATAAGGGACTCTGACGATGGTTCGGGACAACCAAAGCGATGTGAATGTGCACAGGAGTTGTGCTGCGATGCGCATGCACAGGTGGATCCCGACAGCTCCCAGCTGATATGCCGCCGTCCACGTGCCTCTCTGTGGACGGCATCTTCGCGCCTCCATTCCGATGGGGCATACCATGTACTTTGTATTTCCGACGAAGGCCAGGTGAAGATCAACAGGCCAGTCGAGATGAACAGCGTCGCAGCGGACGAGGGAGACCCATCGGCGCCAATTTCGAGCAATCTCGAGCCACCGACCCGACGTTTGGCCTTCAGTGGCCGCTGATTGTCTTCTTTGCGTTTGGGGGTGGCTTGGAGAGAAGCTCCCCCGCCCAGAAGCAGCTTAGCGGCACCGGGCTGCCTCGATGGGCGTGTGGTGCTGTTGGACCCCTGGTCCCCAGCTTGCCCAGGTCTTGATGGAGATGACGGCATTCCGTCAGATCTCGCGTCTGCTTCGTGTCTGCCTCACTCACACACCCGCACGAAGGCTGACACTGGATGCCGCTCATCAGGCCAGTTCTGGATTCTGCCGGCGAGATGGATGGGAGGTCATGTCCCTGGCCCGGCCAGCACCGGGCTGATGGGCGATGATAGGGACGGATACGACAGGGAAGGACAAAAACCTTGGCCGCATCTGCAGCGAGCGAGCAAGCAGGCGGTCCCAAAAGCAGGGTTTCAGCATCCCGCCGTCCGGCCATCCTGTTCATCAAATTTTGGGGTTCCAGGCCGTCTTGCGATACGAACGGCGCGCGAATCTCCGATGACGGGTGGGCTCTGAACTCTGAGCTCTGCCCTTGCCGGCTGTGGCTGCAGGTGATGGCCGCCACCAGAGGTTGGACGATGGAGGCGAGAGAACGGCAGCTCCCGGGCTTCGTCAGGACGATGAAGCCGTCGGAAAACAGCCTCGCACGTCCGTCTTGGTCGCCGGCCATCATCTCTCGACAGGTTGACTGCGAGACCGGTGGGCAGTTCCTTGGCCAGATGAGGTGCTGCAGCAGAGCGAGAGTCATCGCAACTTGCAGCTGGCAGGGGGCCTCGAGCGTGTGCTAAGCTCACAGACGTACCCGCCGCCCGCTGGCCCCGTGCATTCACTCATCCCTCCCTTGGTGGCGGCCGTGCAGCAGCTGCCATCCCTACCACTGACACCAGCCAGCCAGCCAGCACGCTACAGATCCCGGTGGATCCCTTTCCTCCCAATGTGCGACCTTCATCCTTCTCCATTGATTGTCACTGCCCCAGCCAGGCTTGCCAGGGCAGTCGTGCAGCCCATTGGACCCCCCCAATCTCCTCTCTACCTGCCTTGCGCAGATGGTAGTGCACCGTGCAAAGTCGCGGTATCCCGGCATGGCAGCAGCAGCTGCTGCAGCTCCTTCCCTTGCAACCCACTGTCCACCGCCCACCGCCCGCTCTTGCTGTTTTCTGTTGAATGAGGTGCGCCGGCCTGGGTCAGGGCCGTGCCAAGCATGGCATGGCAGTCACGCTGTGCTGTGCTACCTTATGCTGTGCTGAGACGAGACGAGACCCTTCCCTGGGCGTCTATTTCTATCTCGAGACCCCAGCATCGTCGCCGGTGGCCTCTTTTGGTTTTTTTCTTTCTGCTCCCTACATAGACTGCCGCCCTCCGTCGCAAGCACTCACCACAGAATCCCATCCTTCTCGCCAGTAGCTCATCACCACCACCGCTCACACCCTCGCACGACCCTCGATAACACCACCTCTAGCAGCTGCCGCCTGTGCAATCAGTCATCATGCCTGGAGTTCGTGAGTAACCGCCCTTCCCCCGTTCCCTTCCTGCTCTGCTCCCTTGAAATATCGCGATGCCCTTCGAAGCTCCAGACGGGGTCAACAAATGAACACGAGCGTAGCCTCGACACCGAATGCCAAGAAATTCTCACTAACACGTCTACCCCCCACACAGCCATTGACGCCCTGGACAACCTCAAGTCCAAGTTCAAGGCCATCTTTAAGAAGAAGGACGACAAGAAGGCCGAGGCCTCCAAGCCCGCCGAGTCCAAGCCTACTGAGACTCCTGCCACCACCACGACGCCGGCCACCGAGCCCACCAAGACCGACGCGGCTCCCGCCGCTGCCCCGGCCAGTATGTTCCCACGCGCGAGGCCCCTCACGTCCCCGATAAGCGGCAGCTAACAAACAATCACAGCTGAGCCCGCTGCTCCTGCCCCCGCTCCCGCTGCTGAGCCGGCCAAGGCCCCCGAGCCCGAAGCCAAGAAGGACGATGCTCCGGCCACCACCGAGCCCGCCAAGGCTCCTGAGGCTGGTAAGTCGAGATGGACAGCCCACCAGCTTTCGGATTCCATGGCTGACAATCTCTTTCCCAGCTCCTGCTGCCCCCGCAGCCCCTGCAGTGACCACCGAGGCTCCCAAGGCGCCCGAGCCCGAGCCCGCTACCGCTCCCGCTCCTGCTCCAGCCCCGGCTGCTGCCACTGAGCCCGCGAAGACCGAGACCCCCGCTACCACTGCCCCGGTCGCGGCCCCGCCTGCTGAGACCGCGCCTGCGCCCGCGCCTGCTCCTGCCGCCGCTCCCGCCGCTGCCCCCACCGAGGCTGCCAAGCCCGAGGAGAAGCCTGCGGAGAAGCCCGCGGAGGAGAAGAAGGAGGCCACCGCCGCCTAGACGGCGATGCTGAGTGTCTACCATCTGGGCTTGCAATGAGTGTCTTGGGCCACGACCGGTAGGCAGGCTGAGCCACAGATGGGGTTAGAAGTCTTCTGGTTGCTTGAGTCCCCTACCGGCAGCGGTCGAATTCAGCGAGCAGCTCTCCAGTCTGCCGTTGCCATTCGCCAAGAGCGTAAGCATGTCGCGGAGAGGGATGCACGCAGAAGGGGATTACATGGTTTTCTTGCTTAGACCCTTGGTCTAGAATGTTCATTTGCTTAATTGTCGGATACCCATTAGTCGAGTAGTTGAATCAAGCGTAACTTGCTTACACTGTCCCGAAGGAGCATATGCCGCCCGTGCCTTTCTGCAGACCGTGACTAACCCATATTTGCTTTCATTCTACAGCCATGTTTGCGTGAAGCGGTCCTGAACCAACATCGTGTAGCGGGTCCTTTTCTCGGTAGGCGCCGCTCTGGGCAATGTCTCGAATCCTCACGCAGCTTCCGGCTGCTCGAGACATTGGCCCGGCCACCATTTTCCCATCCTTGGACACCATCCTGGGATGGTGCTGGCATTCGTCGCTTATTGATGGGCCTCGAAGCTGCTTTGCATAACCGAGAACAACACCAGCGAAGTCGACAGTCATCGTCTCATCGTGCCGACGATCCGCTCACTTCGCCCACGGCGCCTTGGTCAGCGTGATCTGCGCATCCGTCGTGCCGGCCCCGCTTCCTTGTCTGGCCTGCTGCGCGCCCGGGGGCATCGGCATCATGCCTGGGCCCGGTGGTGCCCGCGCCGAAGCCGCGGACGAGGGCGGCGGCGGTTGACGCGTGTAGGGGATGCCGGCGGCGCCCGGCGGAGGAGGCATGCGGCCCGGAGCACCCGCCGCCCAGGGCGCCGCCGTGCCCGCGCCCTGAGGGGGCGGGGCGCGGTGGTGGCGGGGTAGTTGTAGGAGGGCTGGTTCGCGGCGTGGATCGACTGCGAGACGGGCGCGGCGTCGGGGTCCTGGTTCCAGGAGAAGAGGGAGCCGAAGGTGAAGTGCTGGACGACGGGGAACTTTTGGAGGACTTCTGCGTTGAACATTTTGAGCATGCCCTGCGCGAGTGGGGGGAAAGGTCAGCGGGGTTTCGTTCCTCGTCTTCGGTCTACCTAGGAGCCGGTGCTCACCTTGTTGATCTTCCCCCAGCCGTCCTTGACGCCCGACACGTCAAAGAGGATGGGGCTGTGCTCCCAGAAGGGGCCCTTCTTCACGTCGTTGATGAAGCCGACGGCCGAGAAGTACATGTTCTCGGAGCGCTGGGCCTCGACGACGGCGGGCTTGACGATGTCGCCCGTCTTGGGCGCGCCGCGGACGGAGCCCTCGGTGGGCATGGGGTCGGCGTCCGAGGAGACGGGGGTCGTCAGCTGGGCGGAGCCGAAGATGTAGGGGAGGAAGGAGTGGTCGTCGAGGCCCCAGACGCCGTGGGAGCCGGCGGGCTCGAGGGTGTAGGTCAGGATGAGGCGGCGGACGACGCGGAGGTAGGGCTCGATCACGCCGAGGACGATGATGCGGTCGAGGGCGGCGGTGTCCGGCTCGCCGCCGCCGTCGCCGGCGGGGGTGCTGGGGTGTCATTGGCGAAGAAGGAGAGCTTGTAGAGGGAGCCGAGGAAGGCGAGGAAGGAGAGCTCGTGGCCGGTGCCGTAGTCCAGGCGCTGCGGGGAGCCGAAGGCGCCGAGGAGGTAGGAGAGGAGCTCGGACGAGGGCGGGTCGGAGGACGGGGTCGTGGGGAAGGAGAGGACGGAGTCGGGGATGTGCTCGGACAGCAGGGCGGGGGCGCGGTCGGCGAGGAGCTCGTGCCACTTGCGGAAGGAGACGTTGCCGAAGCGGCGGGGGCCCGGGTCCGGGGCGCCTGGTCGATGAGGGACTCGGCGGCGGCGAGGAGTTTCTGGAGGGCCGCTATGGAGGGCGGCAGGCGGTCGGGGGCGGCACGGAGGTTAGTGGGTAGGTCGTCGCGGGGCCGCCGGCGGGTGAGCGGCGCGGGCAGACGGAGCGGTTGAGTTGGAGGAGGAAGAGGAGGATGTCGCGATAGGCTGTCGTCGTGAGGAAGGTTGAGAGGTCGGTGCCGGTGTTGATGCGCTTGGTGGGGGTCTGGAAGCTGCGCGGGGTCCGGGGCAGGGGTTTGATGGAGGGGAAGGCGGGTTGCTGAGGTGTCGTAGGTGTTGTTGTCGTTGTCGATGCTGAAGCTGGAGGGTCCATGGTGAGTGTGTGTGCGGTGTGCAGGCCGAGGTCTGCTACTTGGGATATGCGTGGTT